ATGAATCTTTAAAAATTGAAGCCCAGATGAAATTGGAGATTCAAAGAATTGTATAACCCAGATGAAATTAATCGGTATTCCACTTTAAACATCTATATATTTAACTATTTATATCTGCAATGTAGTGACCTAGAAAAGATTTTTCTTCTGAATACAAGAAATTTTTGGATTTTACGTTTTTCAAGACATAATTTCCAACATATTTCACTCCAAAAATTCAATGAAATGACATGCTTTAAGTGTTATATTTTAGTTTATTTTTATTTCCTCAATTGTCCAATACATTTCTTAATCTCTTGTAGTTTTGTTACTTTCTCATTATGAGATAAAGCCCATGTTTGGTACACATTAAGTGAGTGTTTGTTTTTTATTCTCGAATTCTACAGTAAATCAATTCTCATTTTCAACCACACATTTTTCAATAAAATAATATTTTCCATCACATCAATAATTTATTCTTCTTTTTCAACCACACATTTCCCATCATATCACTATTCAAAATCAATTCTTCTCCAAAAAATTCCTTCCAAACAAGCACTAAAAATTTTGTAGATCACGGATTATTTCAAGGTCACAAATCTAAAATTTTATAGGTCACAATTTTTTTATCGGTCACAGATAAAATTTTGTAGGTCACAGATTATTTTAATTATGTCACAGGTCGCGTATTTTCAAAGGTCGCATATTTTTTTTTTAGTTACAAATTATCAATTTTAAAGTCACGGTTCAGTAGTTAGGTCACAGACACCAAAAAAACAGATACCGTCGTTAAACCCCATCCCCCAATCTCAGTACCCTACCAACACATGGTCACAGATCAACCAAATAGTTGGTCACAGACACTCTTTGTCACATCCGCCCACCGCCGCCACCTCCATCGCCACAACCATCCACCAACAACAATCACAACCAAACCACCACGGTCGCCACCTGCACAGCACCACCGCCATCATCATCGTCGCCCCATCACAACACTACCACAATCACCGCCATAATAATAATAATAATAATAATAATAATAATAATAATAATAAAAACAAGAATTACAATCATCGCAAATCACAACCCACAAACTTCATTGACGCTAAACAACAACCTCACATTCAAAATATGCAAAATTTCATACAACATTCACTACACACGAGTCGATGCTTATAACAATTCAGCTCAGCTTCATCCAATTCCAGTCACAACCACACACACATCCAGCTCAACTTCATCCAATTCCAGTCCAGCGCATTGGCTCAACTCAGGGATTCACGAGTCAGTGCCTCCAGAACTCACCGAGTCAATAAATCGTTGTTCCAGTCCGACGCGTTGGCTCAACTCAAGAATTGATAAATAAATTAGGGTTTTAATAGATTAATTATTTAATTAAAATGATAAAAAAAAAGTGAAAACCTGATTTTTGAAAAGGCCAAACTTAAGACCTAGTTTGGTATAATTTCCTCTAAAATGTGTGGTTAAAAATGAATTTTAAGCAATGAGGGCCAAACAGGACTTAATTCCTTCTCTATATCATGTTGGCAAGCGGCATAGGTCCATTGTCATTTGTCACTTCTTAATGTAGGGATGGACACGATCAAGATCAGTAGAGAATCGATATGAATCACATAAATGAAACCATAAGCCCCAAATGTAATTATAGAATCAAAACTGAAACTAAATAGAAATTCAATGATTTCGGTTTTTTACTCCTTCTCCCAAGTATTCATACCTTGAAGTAATTAAAGTATTGGTGCAAAATTAGAGTTCGATTCGATTTCGATTCCTATTGTAATAAAATTTACCCTAGTAGGACTTCTTAGGGTTGGGCAAAATGTCCGAACCGGAACCGAACCGAATCGAACGGGTTTTTTAAAATGAAATACCCGAACGGGTATCCGAATCGAGAACCGAATGGTTTGATTCGGTTCTCGGTTCTTAACCACAAACCAACTGAGAACGGAAGAACCAAATTTTTTTTTTTATGTTGGATAGATCAATTTCTTTTATTTTTTCTAAACAAATTAATAATTTTTTCTTATTAAATCTTATTAGTTTAACAATTTAGAGTTTATTTATGTTTGTTAGTTGTGTTTTTTTCAATTTTTTCTTATATAGTTTCTTAATAGTTAGTATGGAAAGTCAACCAACTGATGATTACATTAAATAGTTCGTAAGTATTATCAATACTTTAAAATATTTTATCTTTGTGACTTCTAATTTATATTTCACTTTTATGTAGACTTGA